TCTCTTAGAAAATCCCCCCCGCCCCCAAAAGAAGCCTATGAAGCACAGAGTGACTTAACTTTCCCATGTTACTTGCCCACAGTCAGCGCCCACAGACAATGACTGCCACGCCTGGGCCTCCACAGGCACGGAGCACAGCAACAGACACAGCTGCCTTCGGAGTGGGCTGGGTTAGCTCAGGTTCCGCTGCCTGTTAGAGGTGGTGTGGCCTGCACTGGCCCAGCCCCACCACAGACCCCTGTTCCTAGCCTGCAGCGGAATCCGGTCACCTGCTCTTGAGCGAGTCCCCTGAGGGATTCTTACAGCCTCACAGGTTTCAGAAGCACCGTTAATGGCTTGTAAGCTCTTTCAGGAAACACAGCCATGGCTGCCCCATGCCACCTTTACAGAGCATTCTCACAGGGGTTCACTGACCCCTCTCTCTTCCACAGCACCCATTATAGCACAGATTCCTTCCCTAAACCCTTTGCCTTTCCTGCTGCTTACTCTTCGTCTCTGATTTCGTAGGCTGACAGAATATCAATCAGGATTTTCAAAATAAACGCCAGTATGTGTAGGGAAATGTCTTCTTAGACCCACAGGGACTTTTCATTTATTATCCAGGTTTTTATAGCTCTTCTGCCCACTGGGGTCCCCTCAGCCGGGAGGCCCTGGATTCAGTCAGCAAAGAGTGTTCTGTCAATATTTTACCTCGCATCTGAGTTACCAGGTGCTATTGGCTCAGTCAGGGTCATGAGCCTAATTGTTTTTACTGTCCTTCAAATAAGTCAATATTTTCTGGATTCTAGAAATGACTCAACGGTTGGCTGGCATCACAAGATCTTATCCTAAAACAGTGTGGAGACCATGTCGATGCCTGAGCTTTTGAATACGCATATTTGACATTTGTAATTTTATGTTAAGACAGCACGTTAGGTTTTATGAAGTCAGCTCTGTTAAAGCCCAAGATGCTAGGTGCAATCACGGGAAATTTGTAGTAAGCTATCCAATTCAACATCAAGTAATATTTGATATTAAAACAGAAAGGTGCTGAAAGGCACAGGGTGTCTAGGGTGACTGAACACCCACATTTGTTGTGGCTTTTGCCCACACCCCAGCACAGAGAGAACAGGGGAATAAAAGGGACATATGCATTCAAGAACAAAGAGGCTGGGGATGGCCATAGCGATTGAAGGGTATCAACGAAATCTTGGAAGATGAAAATCAGATGACTGAGTGGTAAACAACTTAGCAGCTTAGAGAGAGCTAAATCTAATCCTGCAGTCCGGGGAGCCAGAAATAAAGCAGGATGGGTCAAGCTAAAGACTGTGGTAAAAACTCGGGACAGAAGAACTTCTGAGTGCCCCAGGGGCAGAAGAAAGTGGGAAGGGAGCAGATGAAAAGGAAAGAAATCATAAGGATAATAGATTATTTTATGTTTTAGATCTTACTGAAAGTTTTACAGGGGGAAAAGTTTAAGGATGGATTGAAGGTCAGAGACCACGCCAAAAACCAAGAAAAGGCAGCAACGGATTCTGGGGAAAACAAAGGATGCACAGCCAAGGCCATGCAGCCCGATGATGTCACACAGCTAAATTGCAAGACATTATGCAAAGATTAGTCACGTAAATATGAAATATTTCAGAATCATAATGTACTTACTATCTAGTTATACTGAGAGTTTGGGAAAGAAAAACGAGAGGTCTGTGTGGGGACGGCTTGTGTACATGAGCACAGGCCCGTATGTACAGACTGAAACAGCTGAAAAACTGAGACGGCGCTTTATGGAGACAAATGAGAGGGAGCAACTTCACGGCTCAAGCGGTGGTCTCGGGGAAGCAGGCCGCCCGCCTGCAGGGCGAGGCGGGCCTTTAGAGCACTCTTCCGCTTTCTGAGGAAAGTCATGTATTATTTCAATCAAATAAACAATGTGCATTTTAAAGAGACTGAACGAAGGGCTCCAGGTTTTCCAAGTCACAGAAAACGAACCTTGGAAGGGATTTCCTCCAGGCTGTAAGTATAGGGACTCTGTTCTTTCTGCGGGTATTGCATGGCTGCAGAGCTTATAATAACATGCCCCACAGGGCGCCCGGCACATTTTGGTAAAATAAAATTGAAAGGGAACGCCATCTTGTAAAATGTGTGCCTCTATGGGCTCATTCCCATCTATCCCGAGGACACCACAGAAAGACCCAAGGAGAGAGTGATCTACATGCTCCTCTGCTAAAAATTAACATCCCATTTTGGAAAGAATTCACTTCCCCCTCCCCCATGGAGGAATTACTGTCGGGCTCCGCGTGTCTCAGACTCTTCCTTGAGCAGCAAGCTGTCATCTGCTTTTGGCTGGCTTCTGTCATGGCTGTTCACGTGTTTTGTGTTTGTCAGACACAAAGGCCCCGACTGCTGCCCACAACCTCACTGTTGTTGCACTGGTAGAGACAACCACCTCCTACCCGAGGATTCCACGAGGACCTGCTTTTCCAGTTCTTCTATTTCATCTCAAGAGCAGCTCTGTGTTATTTGTGCTGTTGCTCTCTCCAGTGGAGCCCATAATCAACTGTAAACACATTTTTGTTAATGACTATCAAATGACATCCTGATGTTTAAGAGACAGTGTTAGGTTATGCAAAATGGAGCAGAGTGGGGGGGGGGAGGGGGAGGGAGAGAGACTGAGATTGAGAGAATGAACTTCTGTTCTTGACCAGTGACAAGGTTAGGAAAGGCATGCTCAAAGTTAGTTCTGGTTACTTAATCACAGAACCACATATTTAAAAAAACTAAAGAGCAATCCAGAAGGTAGAATACAGGATGAAAAATAGTTCCAGAAGTGAAAAAAGGAAGGGCGAATGATCAAAGAAAGAATAGAGAGACAGATTCCAGAGAAGGTCTGAAAGCTTTTAAGAGGAGAAATTTTATGGATACTTTTTCACTCTCACTATTTGAGCTGAAATTTTATAGGAATTCAGAGATGACGGTGATGGGTGAAGAGGTGGGAAAAGGGAAGGAGCATGAGTGTGGGGAAGGATTTCACAACCAGCCCGTGAACTGGGAATGGAAACTAATACACGTAAATGAACAGAAAATAATGGCATCACTTCCATCCAACTGGCAAATTGGATAACCAAGGATTAAAAAAAACAAAAAACAATTAGCAAAAGAAAGAATTAGCAAAGTCTAAACCTTTTTTAAAGAGAGAATTTCCTTTCCTTAACAGTACTTTTCTCGGGGTAGGACATAGTGTATGTGTATGATGAAAAGGACAGAAGAGGCAGCAAAGTATAAAGAAGAGTAGCCTGACCACGCATGCCCTCACCAGGTCGAAGCAGCAGCCCTAACACTTCAGGATGTGTCTACACGTATCCACTCTATCTGCACAGTGATGCGCAGACAGCAGGGACCTCCCGCCCCACTCGTCTGACAAGCTATGCGTAGAAGCCATATCAACCAGTAATGGCAGGATCCTTACGTGTTTTTATTTTCCCAAAATATTTATATCAGTTTCAATTTTTAGCTCACATAGACAACACCGCGCACACAATCTCTGCATATAATTCTCCAGTTATAAGGTCCAGTTCAGAAATTCTGAGAAGCAGAATTACTAGGTAGAACCTATTCAAAATTTTGGAATTAATTTGGTTGGTTTTTCTCTATTTTTGAAATATCCAGGAACTTAGTAAATTTCTATTTACTCCTGAGAGGAAGGCATTTTCTACAAATGTCCCAAATAAGTAAACACCTTGAAATGAACGTCCCACCGTCTCCTGCTCATGGCTTTGGTGTTCGTGTCACTTATGAAAACAAACGCAGATCACAGCTTGTGGGCAACAAAGAACAAAGTGAATTTTCAGCGGTGACAAGCAGAAAACAGATCTGAACTATACCTATACATAATTATATTTTTCTACCTCTCCTGTAATTCCTGCTAGTGTTTGTGCAATGTACCTGCCTATAGTGTAATTAACTATTCTGAGAGCTATGTAAATACTGCTCCACAATCAGATAAAAGCATGAAATAAGTGGTGTGTTTGCAGAAAGATATTCACATGTTTATATATGTATTCTGAAGCGTGTTTCAAACATTGCTGAGTTAATATTTCATTAAAAATGTGCTTTTGCTTGGCAGTTCTTTATGAAGTTAAGAAACGATTATTCTAAAGAGGCCACAACAAGGGAGATTGTGTCCACCTCGAACGTGTCTTGTGAGAGGGGAAGGGCGGAGCTCGCAGATTCAATCCCGGAAGCCATCACTGTTTCTTCACCCCACACGCGAACACGACCTCTGCAGCTACAGGCTTCAGCGAGCCGAAAGCAGGCCAGTGCGTGGGCCCGCAGCGGGTGCCGTCAGCATGCCCGTTCCAGCACAGACAGGAACTTTGTCCCAAATTTGCAAACCCAAAAGCCATTAGTGAGGGTGGGGTGAGAGGCGGGTTTGCGGGCACGCGCCGCAGTGCGGGGGAGCTGGATGCGTCATCGCGGGGAATGCTTTACCGAGGCTGGCGTCGAAACAGCCAACGTAGGAGCGCAGTCTGTGTTAAGAGGAACGATAGGCCTTTCTGACAGCTGTGATGCCGTAACCCACGGACACACGGGGCGGCCCCGAGCCCCCCAAACACAGCCTGCCACTCCGCCTGCTTTAGAACTTACACTGAAGGGTGGCGAGGTTGCTTTCCCGTGGCAGAGATTTTTTGAATGAAACCCAGATAAAGCCTAAAGGTTTGCACTCTGATTACGATTTTCTACCGGCTACTGAGGCTACCCGTTGAGTAGATGCCAGCCAAGCTGTCTTTATTGCCCTAGACAGCTTCTCTGGAGCAGGCCGGCATGTACAGGCAAGAGGCCGCTGTGAGGTTCTGGGCTGGGAAGGCTGGGAACCAAGCCATGGAGCTTGGGCCTGTCTCTGCAGGCCAGCACCACCTCTAGCCCTGCAGCTTCCATCAGGCGGAGCAGGTGGGGTCGGCGCGGAGGGGGCCGTGTCGACGGGACAAGAGGCAGAAGACTGATGCAGGGCCTGCCCGCACTACCTCCCCACCCACGCCTCGGGCGTGTCGGCTGCGGACAGCGGGTAGCGCTGCTTACAGCCTGTTTGCACAGAAGGGCCTCAGAAACCAGGTGCTCTGCAAAATCCCCAAAAACAAAACGTCAGCACCTCGAGAGGGCCGGGGCCCAGAAGAGCAACTGGACATGAAGCGATGGGGCTCCCTCATAAAGGTCAGTGGGAAAGCACAAGCCCCCCACGCCCCCCGGGGGGCTAGGGAGGTGATGGGTTAGGTGGCAAGGTTAGGGCTGTGAGCTACACTGGTCAGGACTAGGAGAGCAAATGATGGCCCAGGAGTCAACACTGCAGGAATCCCCCAACTCACTGAAAAAACATTTTTATGGAATTCAAGACAAATACACATCTACTATCATCTAGTTTGCAGGAATTCTAGAATAATCAGGCCCGACAGGTAGAGGATGGTCTTAGACCTCAGCACACCTCTGAGGCAGTGAGAGCTGAGCTTTGAGGCAGCACAGTTATGAGGGACCGGCCAGAGTAATGACCTTGCTGCAGGAGCGGCAGTTCGTTGTTTTGTGCCCTCTGAGAAGCCTTCTATTGAGGTCATCTCTGCTTCACTCACGTGCACGCCACGCCACTTACGTCACCGTTTGCAGGCTTCCTCACTGCAGGGCCCCAAGCCCTCCAGCGGGGCGTCGGGGGCAGACGATGGGGAGGGCGGCCGAGCACGTTGATTTGGCAACAGGTGTCACCACCAAATTCTGGACCAGCGTGGAAGAGGCTTTCCCGCACCCCCAAATCACAGGAATGACACAACCTCTCACGCCGCAGCCCAGCAACAGATGCGTCAGTGCCGAATAGTTCTAGACAAGCTAGCCCCCTCCCCGGGAAGCACAGCGTGCCCCTAAGCCGCACCCTGCCCTTGACGAGGCTGATGACAAAAACAGCAGCAGCGGGACGTCCCGGAGGACCCTGAGCCCAGGGCACCGGCGCCCGGTTTCCGTCCCACGGCACCTGGCTCAAAGCACCTCTTCCAAGAAGCCTCGGCAACAGGCTTCTTATCGAGGGCCCCTCTGTTCGCCAGCGAGCTCGCGGAGGCGCTTGCCTTCTGGGGCCGCTTCCGAGCCCCCAAAGCGCCTGCCACCCCAGCAGGTCCAGGGCTGCCCCCGGGGGACAGCAGCCAGAGGGCGGGGGACTCCCGGAGGTCGCCGTGGCCTCCCCGGCTGCCTCCACCCAGAGACCCTGACATCACGGGGCTCCCGATGTGCTGTGGGCAGCTGGGAAGTTTGCGCCCAGGCAGCCCGGCACGGGGAAGTCACCCCTTTCCGCCTCTTGAAAGAAAGGAAAACGAAAACCCAGACCTGGCCGCCACACGCGGATGACTCTGCCGGCTCCGGGCTCGGAGCACACCCGGCTCCGGCCCGGCGCGGCTCCCGCATGCTTACCTGGCCGTGGGCCGGCAGCGCAGCGTAGGACAGCGGCTGGGTCATCACTCCCTTCTGCTTCAGGAGAAGCAGGCGCTTCTGGTCCTCGCTCAGGTGGGCCCGGGGCGGCGGCGGCTGCGGGGGGGCCGGTGGCTGCGGCTGCGTGAAGGGCGTCAGGGGGGCCTTGCCGGGGCTGGCCATGGGGGGCGTCACTCTCTGACTCCAGTCTGCGCTGAAGTGGGTCAGGGGCTTGGTGTTGCCGTAGGACAGCAGCCCGTGCGCCTTGCCGAGGGAGCTGGAGCCCAGGTTGTTCGGCTGCTGGGCCATCATGTTCACGTGGCCCTGCGGGAGGTAGTTGTTCACGGCCGTCTTCTGCAGGCTGTTTGCCATGGGAGGCACTATGGGGTTTTGGTTGTTAAAGGCTTGGGGGTACATCATCGGACTATTTGGTTTCTCTGCAGTGAAAGCTGCGCCGTACGGGCTGGAGGGGGGCCCCAGAGGAGACCAGCTCGCCGTCTGGTTCGAATGCTGCTGCTGCTGCTGCTGCTGCTGCTGCTGCTGCTGCTGCTGCTGCTGCTGCTGCTGCTGCATCAGCTTGGCCCTCTGTTGCTGCTGAGCTGCCATCTGCTTAAGCTGCTCCGCAGGAGACATGTCCGTGCTGGGCCCCGACCCGGAAGGGGCCGCCGGGTTGAGGAGATAGCCGGTGCCCGGCCGCGGCGGGGCCTGGCCTGGGGTGTGGGCTGGCTTAGGGGGTTGAGGGGACGGGACTGCACAGTTGGCCGGTGAGCTGGCGGGGTTTGGAGCGGCGGGAGTGCTGGCAACAGAAGGTAAACTGGTGGCCGTGGAGACAGTAGAAAAGGGAGGACCGGAAGAAGAGGGCCTGGCCTGGGGAGAGGCCAGGGACATGTGGCCGAAGGGGGAGTGGGAGGGGTCGCTCTTCACGCTCGCGCTCTCCTGGGAGAGCGGGGTCTCGGTCGCTGGCTGCGAGAACTCTGGCTCCTTCTTCTCCTCAAAGTCCTCGTTGAACAGGTCCTGTATGTCATCCTCGGGAACCGTGTTGGCTAGTTCATCTATGAGCTCTTGCCACTCCTGATCATTCAGGTTAATGTCTGAGAACAGCTTGTTCTGATTGGAGAGAGACGTGTCGGATGTGTCTATGCAGGCGGGGTCGTCCAGAGGCTCTTGCTTGAGGTCCTTGCCCTGCAAGATGGTGAAGCTCTCGTCTAGGGCGCTGCAGCCGTTGACAGGAAGCTTGATCTCGGGGAGCCGACCGTTCTTACTGAGGTCGTCCAGGAGCCCGGGAGTGTGAGGGCCGCTGTTCTGCAAGGGCAGGGAAGGCTTCAGGTCCAGCTGGTGCAGAGGGGAAGCCGAAGGCAGTGGCATGTGGCTGGGCAAGTTGTTGATGGCTTCCATCCCCGCGGCGAGGTCCTTCCGCAGCCGCTTGCTAGTGGGGGAGAAGCTCCCATCGCAAGCACCGTTCTGCTGGTCTCCATTGAGTGGGGATCGGGCTCCTTCCAACTTCCTTTTCACAGTCTCTTGTAGCTGGAAAGGAAATGAGAAATAGGGTGACTACATGTCCGGGTGGTGGCTGATGAGCGGAGCATCTAGGAAAGACCTGGTCTCTGACTACACAACGGTCGGGCTTCTGTTCACGTCCTCGCAGGGAAGAGTGTAACAGAAGCTCAACCCCCCAAGGCGAAGAGACAACACACACAAAGAGGGGAGGGTGGGGGACAGGAGACCGTGCCGGGCAGGGCCTCTCTCCGAGGAAGAACCTCTGCGACCCTCCGAGCAAGTGCCAGTGGTGCGGCTTGAGCCAACAGGGATCCCACTTGAGGAAGATGTTACCGCCTGTCTTAGGTCCCTGTCACATCTTCACTGGGAATTAAGTCAACCACACGTCAGATGACACTGCAGCCCCAGTGAGAATATGGTATTTAACACTATGAATAGACAGAGTTGAAGATCAGTGGTTAATGGGACCCCAAACTCCCTTTCAGTTCGTATTGGACGTGACCTCCCAGCGCCTTGTGCTGGGGGACCCACCCTGTCCTAAGAGCACACTGCTGCTGGGTGCCACAATTCCGCGGGATCCTCCCCCCAGATCCCTTCTTCCTCTCCCTCTGCTCTCTCTCACATTGCTCTGCTCAGTCTCAGAGTCTCCTTTCTTCCTCCCAAATGATGGGCCTTTCACTGCTCTGTTTTCACCATTTCTCTACACGCTCGTCTACGTGATTGCAGGTAGCTACCGCCCCGCCAGCCATCTTCTCCAGGCTGAGGAGCCCGAGGATGCACCCGCCTTCTCTGCTGAGCCTGTTAAGGAGCTCTGCAGAGTCTTGTGGACCCCACCCCTACTCCAGCTTTCTGGACTCCGCCCCCTACTCCAGCGATTGGAGACTACAGCTCCCGGCAGTACCAGGGAGAGAACTGCGAGGACCCAAGGGCGGAGCTCAGCAGGCATTCTGGGCCTTTGGGGATAAACAGGGCGCCATTTGCTACAGCGCTCTCTCTCGTTCAGGCAACGGCTCTTGGACCGTGTGATGGGGTCCGACCATTTGTTACTAGAGCTCCGAGTCAGCCAAGCCCACAAGATATTCTAGCTAGCTTGTATCTCTCTCTCTTTCCCTGGGTTCTTCCTTTTCGTTTCCCCTTTCTGTAAATAAGCCCATTATTGACCCTTTTGTGTGAGCCTGCAGCACAATTAAATTTTAAGCACACGGCTGAGGCCCCATAGACAGGCGGCCCAGTTCACACTGGGCGCCCTGAAGCAGGACCACTCACTCAGTGTTCCCTCTGGCTCGACTTGGCTCCACGCCCGTGTCTTTTGCTCCTCAGGTGTGAGCTTTACCTGCGCCCTCTGTAGGCCAGTAGCCACCCAGCTGTCTGAGCCAGAAACGAACGCACCTTGACACGCCCCACGCCACCAGTCACCAGGTCCTCTGGATTCTGCACCCAAATATCCCTGGACTATGCCCGCTCATCTCCACCCTCCCTGCTGTGCCCAAGGCCAGGAACCATCATCCCTTGCTCGATGGTGACCACAGTATCCACAATGGCCCCTGGGCCTCGCCTCCGCTAGTCACTGTTTTGCTTTCCACCAGTCTCTATTCTCCCTGCTGCGACCTCGTTCAGAAAACACACTTCCCTTCCTGTTTACAACTGCACAACTTTCCCGTTGTCTTGGGAATAAAATGCACACTTGCTCGCCCACCCAGGGTTATCCTTTTGCCTCTCTGCTCAGCACCACTGCCCCACACCCATGTCACACTTTTTCTATCGTTCTGCTAAAACTCTGCTTCATGTGCTGAATTTCCTTCTACCTCAAGGGTACTGCACATATTACTATCTTTTCTTGGAAAAGAAAATAACCATCCTTCTGGTGGTCCTTTGTTTTTACATCTTCTCAGCTGGCTTCTCTTCTATGCCTTCTCCACCCCCACTACATTAGGTACCTTTTTTTTTTATTTCTAATTTTTAAAGATTTATTTATTTGTGCATACAGAACTGGGGTACAGGCCAGAGGCTCAGGGGCAGTGAGAGGCTTCACCAGAGACAGAGTGGGGGCAGAACAGGCAGACTGAGAAAGTCCACTGCTGAGGGGAGCAACGGGCGGGTCAGGAGAGGTCTGCCGTACCATGTGGGTCACCTCCGGGGCGGGCAGGGATCGAACTCATGTTAGAGTTGCCTTAGCTTCTTCTTAATGCTGTGCTTTAACCCACTGAGCCACCAGGAGGGCGAGGTACCTTCTTTAATCCACCTATGCAGGTGGGTGCTGCATTTTGCTAAGGTGATCTCTACTCTGGCCAGTGTTAGTTCACCCAAGTGGGCTCAGTTAAGAAGCCCAGTTAATATCCAGAGTGAAGTGAGCCAGAAAGATCAAGGCAAGGGATGATTTCACATAGATGAGAAATGTGAGGGAATAAAGTGGGTGAACTGATAAAGCAAAATAACTATAAACTAGCAGACACTGGGGACAGAAGTGGGATTTCTGAGGTTAGAAGGAGGGAGGAGAAGCATCCAGGGGGAATGCCGGATGGCAGTGGGGAAACCAGAATTGGTGACAGAGACAAAGGACACATAGGAAGTAAGCGAATAAGCAAATATGCAATGCGGTGTTTTAACCAAAAGCCATGCAGGTGATGGGTTAGAAAGAAAAATGGAAACACGAGGAAGGAAAACTCTACACAGTATTGAAGGAGGAGGAGATGAATTCATGCACCTAATTGCTTATACTTGAAAAAGAAAATGAAATACAGCTTTTCCATCGTTGACTTTAGTGGAAAGGCGAGGCCTGGGTGGCGGGGACGAAGCTGGATTTACCTGAACGTACTGAATCTTAAAGCTCTCTATGCGTCCTGTTAAACAGCTAAGCAATCTTAAACAATAGTTATGTTCCACGAGCAAGGCAGGAGAGAAGGGCTCCCGCCAGCCCCCCACTTCGGGGCACGCACAAGTGGAGCCCCCAGGTTCTAGGGAGGCCTGAGTACACGAAACCTGTCTGGAGATGACGTGGGGGATTCCGAGAAGAGTCACTTGATCGCTGTTCTTTCATGAGTAGAGAATTCTATTTTAAAAGTAAACAGAAAGGTCCTTGAGCAAAACTCCAGGTTCACCCTGGTTCCCGATCTTGTTTTGAACGACGCCAACCCCATCTGCGTCGCGTGGCAGGGACCCTGGATGGCCCCCGGGACACACCGCGCGACTTCAGGGAAACCTGCCTCCCTCCACCCCACTAGGCAGCAGCCGAGGGCAGTGACGTCATGGGGCGGCCCAGGAGGTCAGGGTTCTGGGCACAGGGGCTCGCTCCCTCCGTCCGAAAGGGGCAAGCTCCAGAGCCCCGGCCGAGGGCCTGAGGGAGACAAGGCCTTGGTCCCCTCCTGAGCCACCCTGACGTCCTAATGAACCCGCCTTTGCTTGGACTGCCCAAGCCCACCCTCCTGTTCTAGGCTAAGAAATGGACGGGGCGGGAGGCACGTGTAAAGGTGAGTGCTGTTCGCTCCGCGGGGAAACAGGTGGCCGAGAGCGGGCGGCAGAGAGGCCTGGCTGAGAACCCCAAGGTCCAGGGTGAGAGGGGCCCTGGAGGAGGCAGTGAGCGCCGGGAAACAGAAGCAGAAGCCTGGGGCAAGCCCACAGGAAGGGACGGCAGAGGCCAGCGATGCCAGGCCTGGATCCCGCCCACTGCTGACTGTCGGGCGCTCGCTGTGCACCCCATGAATGCCCTGAGCGAGCGCACCCGGAACACTGGCCTGACCTCTCCTCAGCCTCGGTGTCCTTATCTGTGAAATGGGGTGGCCATGAACATGAAGCTAGAGGGCAGGGAGGCTCTGAGGCCCACGCGTGGCCCGCCAGGGCACCCGGAGCCCCATGCTTGGCCGGCCAGAGCACCTGACACCCCGCCAGGGGACCTGACACCCCACCAGGGCGCCTGGAGCTCCACACTCGGCCTCCCAGGGCGCCCAGTGCCTAGGACTTGCTTCCTTGCAGAGACAACAGCTCCTTCCACCTTCTCACACCCGCCTAGACGTGTTTTTGATCAGCAACAGTCAACAAACATCCACCTTTCCACAGGCAACGTGACCCCTCGACTGCCCCCACCCCCTTCCTACGAGCGGGCTTTGACCCCGAGAAGGTTGAATTAAGGAGCGAGGTCATGCCCGCTGTCACTTTTTTTCTCCGACATCCCCCAAGACCTAGAGCACAACCCCGTAAAGCTCAAAGCTCGCAGGACTGCCCAGCCGCTAGTGCTTTTAAGATCGAGGGGAAGCGTGAGCGAGGACGGCACAGAGGCCGTGTGTGGGTTTCCACACCCCAGTCAGCACAGCATGTTTCAGTTCCCTGGCGGCAAATCCCTAATGTTTTCCCAGCACCTGGGGAAGCTTTTTGAAAATTAACAGCAACGGTCACATTGGCATTCCCGCCCAGCCATCCCGCGTGCCCAGGCTCAGGGCCCACGTCGAGGGGCAGGCGCCACGGCCGGGTTCCCGTCAGGTGCATTTCGGGCGTTGCCCTGCTCTTCCTTGAGGCTCTGAACCACCCCCGCCCCCCGAACCCAAATCTCCACACATATCTCATGTTTCCATGTTCGGGGCTGTAAGAAAGATGTCACTGAGGAAGTTACATGACAATTCTTATGTTTTGTTTACTTGTAGCCAAAAGAGCCAAGTGACCAGTGCCCTGCTGCTGCCTCGTCGTCCTTGGTGCGAGCTGTGGAAGGGCGGGCGAGAGTCTCGTTCTCTCCTCATGTCTCTCTTGGGGGCCAGTGTGGGGGCACAGACCCGCCTGGTCCAGGCCGACTGTCCTCCAGCCAGCGGGCTCAGCGAGCAAGAAAGCTGCCCGCCCTCGGGCCCTGCCGGCCCCTCACTGCCCCCAAGTCTTAGAAGGTCCCTGGCGCCTTACGAAGCGGGAGTCTTAGGATGGCCTGGCCCTGTGGAAGATCAGTCCCCGACTGAGCAGCCCCCCAGTCCTGTTACTGCCGTAGCCCCCAAATGCTTCCTCCCACTGAGGTCAGCTGCTCAGCCAGTGCCAGGGACAACAGGGCGTTG